AGATATTTATTTATTAATTAATTAATAAATAAATGACATAAATTGTTGACACAAACAACAATCACACGAAACAAACTTATTAAAAAAAAAAAAAAAAAACATTTCAGGAAATACATTCATTTTTTTTTATTATAATTAAATAAAACAAAACTTGACCGTATTTAATAATAATAATAATATGATATAGTTAAATGTTAACATACGTAACATAAATTTTACAAAAACAATAACAACATTAAACATTAAAAAGAAAACAAAGACAAACAAAATGTCGGGATAAAAAAAAAAAAAATTCACGGTCGTAAATTTTTTTTTACATATAATTGCATCGATGGTTTAATTTTATCATTATCATTATTATTATTATTATTATTATTATTATTTATTATTATTATTATTATTATTATTACTATTATTATTATTATTGTTATTAAATAAGTATAACAACAACAACAACAATTACATAAAATTATTAATGTTTTTATTATTATTTACAACGTGTTTATAAAAAAAATTAATTATTTTAAACTGTCGTCTGCTATACAAATAATAACAATTAATGTAAAAAAAAAATCGTGAAGTGATTTAAAAAAAAAACATATTTAATAATTTATTATTATTATTATTATTATTATTATTATTATAGTTAACTATCGGCGGTTTGCATAGACATTGGAAACATAAAGTAATGTCGAGATGAGTAATATTTAACGTTTTAAAAAAAAAAAAAATTCCTCGCAAGTTCAAAATCCTCATTTACGATTACAATAACCCTGACAACGCTTAAATTTAATGTGGAAAGAAAAAGAAAAAGAAAAAGAAAAAAGAAAATAATAAATAGGATTAAAGTGAAATATAATAATCCGTGGAGAACTTAAAACAATGATTTAGCTAATTGAGGGGTTTGAAATTGTATAGAGAGAAAACCTTGTGGCCATTTTATTATTATTTTTTTTTCTTCTTCTTCTTCTTCTCCTTCTTCATCTTTTTCTCCTTCTTATTCTTTTTCTTAGCTAATTCCATCATCCATTTTATAACTTCTCCAAATAAATATACAATTGGTTAATCCTAATACAAATTTTCAAGGTTATTAGTACGAGCACCACATTAACTATTTGTTAAAAAAAAAAAAATACAGAATCCAATTATTATTATTATTATTATTGCCTTACAAACGCCGAAACAAACCAATGGGGTAGTACAAAAATTAATAATAATAATAATAATGTTAATAACATATTACGTAGATATCACAAAACTCATGTAATCCTTTTAAATATTTTTTTTGCCTTTGTTTTCCTAAACTTATAATAATAATAATAATAATTTACGAGTTTTTATTAAATTTATTATTATTATTATTATTATTATTATTATTATTATTATTAAAGTTTTCGTTTTAAATTTCGATGAAGATCAATTTTTTTTTAAATATAAAAATACATATTAGGTAAAAATAATATAAAGCGAAACAAGTCGTCAATTTTATAATTTTTTTTTTTATCGCTCGATGAATGACTTCGTATATTTTCTTTAGAAATATTTTTTTTATATAAAAAAAAATTATTATTATTATTATTATTATTACATTTAGACATTTTATTATTATTATTATTATTTTCGCTTTTGGTCAAAGAAACTTTTAACCTCAATTTTATTAATAGTAAATATTACCAAACTTTTATCACCTTAGCTCTATCTCTCTCTCTCTCTCTCTCTCTTTGTCTCTGTCCTTCTCTCTCTGTTCCTCTCTCTCTCTCTCTCTCTCTCTCTCTTTCTCTTTAATAATTTATTTACAAATTAACGATTTTATTTATTTATTTAAATTTTCTTATACGTTTTAATAAATTAAAAAAATCCTTGGAAAAAAAAAAAGAAAAATTTTTTGAAAGCTACCGCCAAGGATTTTAAATCGGGGGTAGGGAGAGGGAAGGGGGGCGGGGGGTAAAGTCACTCAATGAATCGCCATTAAAGCAATTTAAAATAAATAAATAATTTCGAAACGTTTTTTTTTTTAAATGTAAAACATAATATTACATACTAATAATAATAATAATTACTTACACTTTTTTTTATCAATGACGAGGACAGGGTTTTGTAAAATTCCTCCGCCCCCTCCTCCTTCCTTCCTCCCCTAAAAAAAAAAATCTTTGAAGAACCAAAATCACATAAACGAAATTTTTATTTGTTAATCATGTGATAAAATATAATAATAATAATAATAATAATGTAAAAATAAAAAAAACAAAAATGATATTATCGATAGCCACTTT